TTAGACAATGACTAAAGTTGTACATGTGGCTTGTTGTACACTCTTCATGTAATTACAAACAGTAGGAACTATCAATGCATATCCCGTATGCAATTCTAATAAAATTCCTTCGGCAATGTAAGCCGCCTTAATAACAAAAAAAAAAATATTACTAAAAAAACTAAATATACAAAATTCTCATACCCAACAATATTTAATAAACCAAATACTAATACTATACCTACTCAAATTACAAATTACAAATCTGAAATCAAAAAATAGTTTCTACAAGGATTTTCACTAACAAATTGTACATTATAATATCATGATTAATACCTCAGGTTCTCTTCAACCTATCCTAGCTAAAAACTAATTTGAAATAATTAAATATAGTATAAATTAGAAAATAGGGGATGTAATGTTACATTAGATGCCTTAGATTAATATAACACAAATATAGTTAGAAATCTTTAAATTTCGAACATATATTCTATTTTTTTAAATAAAGTTTCTACTATGGCATTATAAAAAAAAAAAAAAAAAAAAAAAAAAAAAACCTATATATTATTTAACTTTGATATTTAATAACCTATATATTATTTAACTTCAATATTTAATAACCTATATATTATTTAACTTTGATATTTATATTATTTAATAATAAATTAATTAATATAAAATCTATAAAAATTATTATATAAATATAAAAAGTATATAAATAAAAACTAAAATTAATTAAAATAATGAAGATAAAAACATAAATTATAGATTTTTTAAAATATTAGAGCTATTAAAAATTTTTATATATATAAATTTTTTTTTTACTATATAGTAGGGAGGAGAAGTGAGAGGGAAGAGTAAAGTAATGTAAAACAGAGAATCAACTTGGTCTCACTTTAGATTGTCTTTCCTACTACTAAGGGATAACTCAATTATTACTTCAAAAGAAGAGAGGGTATAGTAATTATGAATTAATTAATGAACTTCACAAAGATAATTCTACTATACTACTTAATAGAATATCAAAAGAGGAGTAATTAAGAAAAGTATAAGTTAGGTAGTAGAAATTATTTAATAAAGAATTCTATTGTTTTTAAAAGCAAACTTAGGAGTTGTTATCCTCTATAAGCCTATATAGCTTTTATTTATAATATAAAATTTAGAAACAATTTATTATATTTATAACAGATATGCCATTTATTGCAGATATGATATTTAATCTATATATTCAATTGAGATCAATATATATTCTATAGCTACACTATATTAGGTATTAAAAACAAAGCAAATATATCAATAAAAGTTAGTAGTAGTGAACAAAATCTATCACAAATAAGGACACCAGACCTTGTTTTAAGGAAAAGAAAGATATCATAATTAGAAAAAAAAAAGAATAATTAGTAACAGATCAAAATACATGATGCAAGATCCAAAAGCAAAAACAGAGAAAAAGAAAATCTACAAACAAGCAACAAGGCTCAGGAAATAACTTTACCTGATAAACCCTCTAATAGTAAATTAAATATAGATATAGCTAGTTGGTTCAAAGATCTAAAACAAGAATACTCAGCTAGGAAGTTATTCTGTATAGTAAATAACTTCAAAAATACTTTTCTAGACTTCAATGAAAAATCAGAAAATTCTACAGAAATAGAAATAGAAAATTATGGAAAGCTTACTAAAGAGAAATAGGTAATATACTAAATGAAACACAATGAATTAAGGATTTGAAGTCTAAAACAGAGATAGTAATCTTCACTAATAACAAAAAAGAAAAGGATATATTGAATATTAAGAGACTATAAAATAGTTTATTTCTATGTTTAATAAGAAAAGAGCTATATATAGTACATATTTACCTAAGAAAAGGATTAGTAAAAAGAATAGCAATACTCTTATATTTGATATACAAAGTATAACAGGAGTATAATTAATGATATCATATCAGCAATATATACAAAAATAAGAAATGACTTTATTGTAGCAAAGCCTTACTATACTAAAGAGGTCTACATATATCTTGAGGTCATTTTTGAAAATGAAAAAAAGAGAGAATACTATGCTACAGAAAAGATAATAATTTTTAGACAAACTCTCTTTAGATATATCCTAGTTAATCTGAGATAGAACTTTCTGCTAGTAAGGCTTCATAATGTCTCTATAGGAAAAAAAAACTTTATTTTAAAGCAAATAAAAGAAGTATTCAAGGATATTAATACTATATTCTTAATTAAATTTCTATTATTCAAAGGAATACCAATATGTACAAACTAGTAAGTTGTTGTTTTCAAAACTATACATAATCCAGATCTTGCAAAGAAGATACTCAGATATACTCAAATTTGAGATTAAAAAGTCATAATAGAATAGAAGGAAGTACCTAAAGTGTGTTTCTACTATGATCAAATTGAGTATATTAAGAAGTGCAACCTATAACTTCAATTATTAATAGAACTCAGGTAGCAATACAAAAAATATAAGGAAGCTAAAACAAAAGATAAAATGAATAGAAAAAATAAAAGTAATATATCAGAAATGACAAATTTTAGGGAAGACAACCTATACAGTAGTAAAATACAAATAGAAACGAATACAGAACTCTACTCAGACTAGCAGAAGGAAATAAATGAAGCTAAAACTATTATATCTACAGAAGATAAATTAGTGCAAACAGAAATAGAAGTTTAGTAATCTTTTGAAAAACTGATAACACAGATAGAGGATAAACAGATGAGTAACAAAGAAAATACTTCCCTTAAAACAGAAGTCTCAGAGCAAAAATCTGTAATTAATAATATGCTAGTGAGTACAATGAAAGATTTAGTGAATGATGGATTCACTATAGTTGTCAATAAAAAAATAAAAATAAAAAAAGAGAAAAAAATCTTATTAGCAACAATAAAACTAAGCTATAACAATACTATAATTTCTCTGTAATTTTTTTTTTCATTATTTTTCTAAGTCTTTTCTTAATAACATACTAATTACTATAATTAATTTAGCTATATTTAGCTTATCA